CACACACACACACACACACACACACACACGTATATATACATATAGAGAGAGAGTGGATAAAATACTCCTCTCACGTAAACTGGTACAAACTTGTTGACATCAATGGAAGCGCCTGTAGAGAATTTTGCCAACTGTACAGTAATTTCTACAATCCTTCATTTACTTGCAATATAAGAACTGGTTATTTTAAGTGTGTCTTTAAAATTATTATTTCTCCAATCTTGATCAATATGCCATTACACACCTCTACCCTTCCTTTTTAGAGTATCTTGATTTTAACATTAGCTGCCACTGCTCCCCAAACACAAGAGCAGACTGTCTTTCTTAGCCACACATTTTAGAATGGACTGATTTGGCTATGAGAGAACTTTTTCAGTGCATGGCTTGCTAAAAATGATAAAAGGTTAATATCACGAAAGTGTTTTTACCTTCACTATGATCTAATCCTATTGTTTGTTCAATTTCTGCATAGGTTCGAGCACCATGGATCTGCAGAGTGTCCAGGCTGCTGGTTTCCATCAGGTGAACAATATCCATTCTGTTGATTTTTGTTAGACACTGAGTAAGACTGGTATCTGAAATGTTCAAAAAACATTGTTTAGCTGTGTCGGGACACTCCTATGATCTCCATTCTCCATATCCAAGACGTATAAGGTTACTCATATTATGACATATAACATAAAGATATATTGTACAGAATGAAAAAAAATAGTATTACTACAAAGAGTTAGAAATACTGGGAAAATTATACATATAATTACTATCAGTATTTCAACAGAAAAAAATCATTAGCAACAGTCTTTTTGCCCACATTTCTGCTTCTCTAGGTAACAAGACTAATTCAATTCTCATCCTTGTTTTGCTTTTGCCCTCCCAATGAGTAAGAGTAAATTCATTTTCTTTAACATACAATCCTTTGGTATTCCTTATTATACACACCGGGGTGTGTCTACATGAGATGCTTTATGTGCAATAGACTAATTCTACTGTGCATTAGTGCATCATAGCAAAAACTGTGCTAATGCACAACAGAATTAGTCTATTGCACATTAAGCATCATGAACAGACCATGTACCTTTGCTACTGCACCGTAGCGCCAGCTACTGCACATTTATGTAGTACCTTATATTAGAGGTACTAAACTTAATGCTCAGTAGCAAAGGTGCACTAATGCAAGTGTAGACGCACACCACGATGCTTAAAAGAAACCCAGGTCCTTTAATAAGTCCCATTTTAGTCTTGTAAGTTTTATCCACTTTCCCCTTGTATCAATACAGGTGTGCACATTACCTCTAAACTGCCAGTTGGGGAAAGTCCAGTTTGTGCAGTAACTGAAAATGTACCTGTAGCATGTTTCCCATCTCTGTCAAGCCAGTACTTCAGGAGTGCATGGCTCTGGTCCTGCAGTGAATTAGGATTCTCAATTCGGATCTGGTGAATTTGCTCTTCTGTGAAATCCAGTTCTCTTGCTAATTCTGTGAAAGACAAGCCATTGGTAAAGGTTTTTCATAAATATTTCCCCCCCTCGCTGTCAAGTCCATTCCTAAGATTGGTGGCTAAAGCAGCCTGACAAATAGAATACGCTGGTAGTAATAACATGTAAAAATTCAACTTTCTAACTATAATGTATCAAATTCTCTTGAATCTATCACTCTCTCCCAATTTTGATTTAGAGTCTGATGCTCCTCTCCTAGTAGAAGAACTAATTAATTTTAAATAATCATAGAAAAGCAGGGTCAGAAGGAGGGTAGTAAAACACTGGAACAGGTTACCCAGAGAGGTTGTGGAATATCCCTCCTTGGAGGTTTTTAAGACTTAGCTAGACAAAGCCTTGGATGGGATCATACAGCTGGGGATGGTCCTCCTTTGAATAGGGGGGTGGACTAGATGACCTGAGGTCCCTTCCAACCTTAATTTTCTATGATTCTATGATATTTTGCAGTCACTTACACCATGGCTCAGTGAAGGCATAGCTCCTTGGAACTGTTAAAGTAAGATAGGAAAAATATGGGCAAATGGCTAGAATTTATGGATGAAAAAGGAAATTTGAAAGTGTGAACTAGGAGTAACTGGTGTAGTGATGCCTGCTTGAGTAAAGAGTAAAGAGTTGTCATAGTCCTGAGAAAAGTGAACTCCCTTATTCATGACAATGAGGATTTAACTACACCTAGAACTAGTAGGAGTCCTTGACAGTGCTATCCAGAGTTATCACTCTACATAGAAAAAGAAGATTGAACCTGGCTGGGCTGACCTCACACAGATGAATACAGCCAAGAATCTGACTTAAGTCCCGGGGCATCCCTACCACCATTCCCAGATCCACCATTTCTGCCTCTCTGGGTGGAAAAATCGCCCCTGCCTCCAGCCACTGTCTCTTTAGTGGCAAGGACATAAAGCAGATGGTCACAGGAATGAACCACTCACTGGTGGATCCCATATTGTGATATGCAAAGAGTCCAATCTTGCCTTACTCCAGCTCAGAGTTGATCTATTTTGTAAACTGAGGCCAAACTGGAAATGTGAAAAAAAACATAAATACCTAGAATAATTACTGCTGAGAATCAAATATGGCACATTCTACGAAGTAGAAATAAATAAATAATAGAACTCTCATAAAATCAAAGAACCGGGGCTTTCATTTACTCAAAGCAAAGTAGGTAAGAATAACCACTATTGTTATCTGTGTCTCCAACACGGGAGATTTTAGAGGGATGTTTAACTCGGCCATTACTAGAATATCACCAAATCACAGTCAGTCCAATCAGTGAAACTGACAGACATAAAATTTGCTGAGCAGCTTCAGGGTCTGGGGATTTTTTGGTTCCTAGAAATTTGAAAAGGAAGTTACTGTAAATCAAAAGCTTATTCTTGGCCAGAACTATTTTTAGCTGGCTGCAGCAGCAGAGCTTACATTTTTAGAAATCAAATTCATTTTACGTGGGACAAATATTTACAAATGCTGTCAAGCAACATATTAAAGAAGTATATGTATTATACCTACAATGTATAGGTCTTGTTAACATCCATTAAGTATACCACCCTAGTTTTTGGAACCACAACAATAATTCTGAAACACTGAAATAACAGCCTGTCAAATAGAATATGCTGGTAGTAATAGCATGTAAAAAGTCAGTTAGGCTAGGTCTGATTCCCAGTGATTTTGACTGGAGTTGTCTTGTGATACAAGGGATTAGAAACAGGCCTTCCGACTGGTTCATTCTCTCCCTACAGGTGCACGTGCAGAAGGACAGGAGGGAAAAGCTCCTTGCATAAGCAAAAATATCGGTGTTAGTTTGCAAATATAATGAAGACCATGAAATGCACAGCCCAGAAGACTAACTGTATTATATTAGGATTAGATTTTTATTCATGTATTTAGTAAATAATCCTCTAAGTCTTAGAACACTACTTATTTCCAAGAGTCTTATATGGAACGATGGAATTTTTCAGGAATTCTTCCATCTGGGATTGTGACAGGTTTGCCAGCCATGTGGAAATGCTGAACAATCTGCCCTAAGTTATTAGTAAACTGCCAGAGCCATAAGAAAAGAAGTACAGGACAGTGTGGTGCAGAGAGCCAGGGAGGATATTTCAAGTCCAGTGGACTGAGTGAGAAGATGGAAGGTTGGCTGTGGCCAGTGATAACAGGACAAGCTGAATTTTAAGTTTTTTTTGGATTCTGTTCAATATAACACAGGTCAGAGAACTCTGAACAGCTTATTCTCTTTTCTTGTTGTCAGCTGATTTCTAGCAGTAGGAACCTCATTTTATTCTTTGTCAGCTTGGCCTGTCCTTTGATGATGCGTGTCTCATTGTGGTGTGGGTTTCTGCAGTTATAAACGGACTGTTGCTACCTTGGCCCCTTTCATTCCTTAACTCTGTCACTGGTCTGAAAGCAGCAAGCTGTTCTCATTTATGGAAGCCCCACCTGAACACCTGTGGGTGTAGACAGATGTAATAACCGTATTTTTATCAAACAATAGTGATATAAAACATTACGCAATAACAGTTATATCTTGCATGATTCTGTTGTGGGTTGAGTACAGGTTTCCCTCGCTTTATGCTGTACACGAGTTCCTGGAAAACGACGCATAACTCGAATTTGCATAAAGGGAACCCACTTTACAATGTAAAAAATAGGGATATGTTTCAAGACCTTGACTGTACTGACCCCCAGACCCATTTCTACTACTTTTACAAGACAGTTTTGGTACTTGCCAACAGCAGACAGTACACACAAGCACAGGGCACTATCACAGTAGGGATGGCAACTACAGAAACATGAGTTGGAGACAATGAGCAAGAAGCATAGATCCACACAGGAGACTATATTTTGGTGCATGTCACTCCCACAATGCACCGCACAAAGCATCTGCTGTGAGCTTCCACCACACTGACTGCATAGGAGTGAACTTACCTCGCATATAAACACATTTTTTATATAAAAAGGGCCATTGCATAAAAGCAAATTCACACATACAGAACCCTTTATAGCAAGGGAAACCTGTACAGCAACTGTAACTTTTACCCTCCTCGGTTCAAAGTTAGAGAGGCTTAGCCTGTTTGTGTCACTGAAGGGTCATGCAGATGTAACAGTTAAACTATAACAGCTGAGGTGTGCTACTGAATAGCAGCAGTGGCTCCTTTCTCCTTTTCAAACAGTTAAGCGTTAAAGGAACATTTGTCCATAACTTCCTTGCAGCTTCACAGCCCCAAATTGCCAGAACAATGACTGCCCTCTCTGGCCAAGTTCAGACTTTTGGTGGGGTTTGGGGGAGGTTAGATCACGTTAAAAATGGCCACCTCATCTCAGATAAATCAGGATGAGGCAGATTAGTGGGAGGGAAAGGGGTTAGGAGGGAGGCAAGAAGGCTGGAGATGGGGATTGTGGATCCACGGGGTATTTGGGGGGTAGGCAGGATCCATGGGAGCAATTGGGGTGGGGAGGGGCAGGCCACATCCATGGGATGGATCAAGGGGGGCAGACATGTCCATGGGGCACTTCTGGGGTCCAGGAGGGTTTGGCAGGATCAGGAAGGTTCGTGGGACTCATGGGGTCTATGGTCCCAGGGACTAGGAGCAATTTTTAGCCTCCCTGACAAGCCTACACCCCTATCCCTCCTCCCCCCCACCCCCACTGATACTTATTTCCTTGCCTCCTGGCATCTGCAAATGCTGATAAAACCAGCACCCTAAGTGGCTTGTGGGATGGACTGACTGGTCCAAGACTGCGGGGAGGGTGAAGAGGGGCCAAAAGGTTAAAAATGGCTTGGTGCCAGGGAGCGAGTAAGAAAAGTGCAGTCCTGGGACTGGGACTGCGCAAGTAATTGTACTGAAATTAAATTCACCAATCTAACCTAGATTGATTAGTTTTGAGTGTACATTGATCCAGGTCTATTTTACACTGGGTTCTGCCATTTTTAGACTGGTCTATGTGCACCAAACTTCTGTACTGTTATGGGCTGAGATTAATTTATGATCACTGAGACCAGGTTTAAGTGTAATGCCTGTACCTGGGCAAACTAAGTTAGATTGGGTGGCCATTTTTAATGTGGCCTAACCTCGAATGTCTGCACTTAGCCTCCATATGCTCACCTACCCTCATGTGCCCTATACTCAGAGTCTTCAGAGGGGTGATGTTGGTTCTTTGTTATTCCTCTACTGAGCGTTTTCCTGTAGGAAGAGCCAGATCAGGTCCATAATCTGGCCCATCCACTTCCTATTTTAGCTAACAATGTGGAATGTCACCAATATCCCAAAAGACTATCTAGTTTCTACAGGCTATTGGAGGATCTCTATAAAACATCCTTCAGTAATAAAAAAGACATCTTGCAGAAACATGAAAATGTAAAGAAAACCATCAGCTCAATATGTACACTTCATCTGAAATGTATCCCATGCAGTTTACCTGTCCAACTGAATCCAAGGTGATCAGCAATGTGTGCCAGTCTTTCCTCTGTCCTTTCCTGGTCATCCTGTTGATCTAAAGAATATCAAACAGAACAGCCACAAGTTGTCTAAAGCAAGTTAAGGTGAAGCTACTGAACTGATGAATATCTCATGACAAAAAGACTACTTTTCTTCTAATTGCATTGGAGCTCTATAAACTGGGGCAAAGTTTTTAGAAATGTATGCCTCAAATTAGGCTTTCTAGGTCCTTATTTAAGTGCCAAAATAGTCAGGAAAATGAAGCCTTTGGCTGCTCAATAGTTTGCAAAACAGGTTTCTTGATTAGATGTCTAAATAAGTATGTAAAAGCCTTCTGTATCCAATTTCACCAAACATTTTATTCTTAGGCTTATTTGTAAAAATAAGTGTATCCAAATCAAGAGGTGGGGGCTAACACTTAATGAGAAAAGAAGAGGCATAATTTTCCATGCCCCCTTAGTTATGGACAGCTTAAAAAACTATACTGCAGTGTTCTAGATTAGTTCTCCCAAATTTAAATTAAAGAATGCGTTATTTTAAAGAATGTGTTTTTCAGGCAATCATAAGGCACTTCAAATTACAATGTGTCTTTAGGATTTTACAAAAATATTTAATTTGATTATTACATGGAAGAGTTAACTAACCCAGGACATTTGCAAAGAAGGCATGGGAAAAACAAAAGCCCACTTTTCAATGTTTAATACTCCAATTGCAAGAAATATGCTAGCCTTTCTGCCTGTCCATCTCACAGCTAGTTTAAATTCAGCAGAGTTTTGAATTTTGGTTTTCCCAATACGCATATATAGATTTCATACAACCACATTCCCAAAAATTGGTTACAGGAGTACAGCAACATGCATGTGTTCAAAGTTTTAGTTACTGGATTTTCTTGGAAACTGTTTCATAAATATGAAAAGTAACTTAAAAGCAAGGGAAAAAACTCTGACCCACCCTACAATAACATATTAAGTTATTGATGACTCATCAAATGTTTTCTGAACAACTGGCCGTCAAGTAAAGGGATCTAGGAAATCCAATTATTTAAAAAATCTGAAAAATGTCACTGATGTCTTAACATGCAAAACAAAAGGGATTTGCCTCCCCGAGTTTTAGGGACAGGGACTGTGCTAAAGTACTTTATTATGTTAGCAATACCAGGTCAAGATAGGATTAAGGAAAACCAAAAGCCAAAATTTTCATGGCCTGAAGCATCTGTTTTGCTAAAAGCAAAATAATAATTGATAAAGTCTTTTCTATTTATTATATTAATACTTTCCATAAGCATTCGCAATGTGCAATCTTGAGATTGTTTCACAGACAAGAAAAAGAGACAACACAAAAAAACAAACATAGCTTTTACAAACGCATTTACAATCAATCACAAAAAGCTTAAAGAAAATGATGCACAGATCACACACACACATACATACACACACACCAATTTTTTAAAAAAAATATTAAATTCATGACATGCGTAGCACAGGGAATCCCAGTGTTTGGCAAATACCTTGAGCATGGTCATGGACATTTTCATCAGGAATACGCTCAATCTGAGTCTCAATGGACTCATCCCAAATGGGCCTGGTGTCAAAGATGTCTTCAGGAACTGACTGCTGGGTCTCAATGGATGGTACATTTTCAATAACTGAGACTTCTAGGGCACTACTGCTTTCGTCATCTGAAACTAATTCTTGTTCTCTTTCTGACTGTGTAAGTCTTTCCACTAACTTGGAAGCTTCATCACTAATCTCTTCAAAGAATTCTATGGAGTTTTTGTAAAGGTCAAAAAACTGTTCCTTATTTTCACTTGTGGGACTAACAGCACTACGGGAAGCTCCTGTAGTACTCCTGCTTTTAACTGGCAACCTTGATGAAAATACCTTTGTTCTTCCCATTGTCGCCTCATCTATTTCTAATTCAAGCTTCATCTCACTCTCCCTCTCTCTGCTCTCTGTGTCTGCCTCAGCATAACTCCTAGCTTTTATTGAGCGCTTAATCTTTGGGTCCATGGGAACACTCGCATCGGATTCAGATTTGCTTCGACTGTCTTGTTTCATAGGCTGGTAGTCTGTCATCTCAGGAGCTTTGGGTGACTCTGGCTTGTAGACAGATGTTTCAGTGTATGCATATTGTTGCTCAGCTCTTTGGAAAGTTGCTTTGATGGGAATTTTAGACTTTGGCTTGCTTTGATCATCCTTTGTTTCAAGCTGCAGGCTGTCTATAAAACCATCAGAATGAGGGCTCTCTTGTTCTGATTGTTGAAATAGTTGTGATGCAGCAGCTGTGGCCCGTACAGGAATTTTGGATTTGCTTTCAGAAGGCACTGTCTCCATAACAGCAGTAGGGATTTCAATCACAGATCTCTGTTCTTCTGGTGAAGAGTCTGGGGACTCATCATCCTGTTCAGAATAAATAGATCTAGTGACTGTTGAAAACTCTAACTGCACATCTACCACAGACTGCTCAGGAGACATAGGGCAAGGCACCTGACTGCTGTCAATCTGATCTGTTTCCATTCTGGACATGCATTCATCTTCAGAAGATTCAGAGGCAGCAGTCTCTTTCTTTGGTGATTTTGAAGAAGCTGAAATACCCATTTTAATTGGAATTCTGGATTTAAGGTCTGCTTTTGTGGTGCCTGTGCTGATCATCTCCTCTGATTTGTCACTAGGCTCTGATACTGGGGACTCTGCTGTCAATGCATTTTCTTCTCTTGGGTCAGTTTCATTTGATTCCGAAGGTGGAAATGAATCTGGGGCTTGTTCAACCTTAGGAGATTCCACCTGAGCAGCTTGTTTCATTTCTTCAGATAAAGATACTTCATCCTGAAGCTGCTGCCCCACTTGGAAGAAATGAAAGCTTTCATCTGCATAGTTCCTTTTGGTCATGTCAATGGCTCCACTTCGAGTCATTTCAAACAACTTTCCTTCCTGGAAGAGAAAAGGGTTTTGTTCACTAGTTGGTGTGCCCTCTTCTGTGGGTGTTCTGGCTGGAGTAGTATCAGGTGTTGTGCCCTGCGACTGCCTGTCCACCATCAAACCAAATATTTTTTGTTCCTCCTCTTTCACCCGGGCCTCAAAGGCTTCGTCATCTTCACGTATTTCACTCCACTTGTCACAATCTACATCGGTCTTAGTGATGACCACTTGGCTGATTAGCTTCTCAGCTTCATCCCTTATATTCTGAAGAGCAGATGGATCTAATGTTGTGGGGTCTGATGCTGAAGTCCCTGAAGGCATTTTCTGAAAAATATCCATGTGTTTTGACTCTATTTCCATATATACCTCTTCTGAAGACTGATCTTCACATCCAGGGGCATGTCCACTAAGGGAACTTCCAGATAATACTTTCTCAACCATTGATTTTTCTGCTTCAGTAGAATGAGCATCTCTTTCAGAGCTAGTGAAAAAATGTTCAGAAGAAACATTCTCATAAGGACTTGTCATATGGGGAGCACCGTCTTCATGAGCGTCTGCTGTACAACCTTCAAATTCATTTTTTTCATTGGTAAGGGATGAATAGTCAGTTGGGAGCTCCTTGCTATAAAAATCCTGTTGGAATGCCTCACAATCTTTTCCTGCTTTTTCCAAATCCCTTTCCAAAGCGGTGTGTGTAGGGGAATCATCTGCAGTCAATTCACTGCCTTGTGATATAGAGTACTGAGAAGTAGTATGTCCACAAGGGTCATCACCTGACTTCTCAGACACAGCCCCTGTAGCAGTAAGGTCTTTATCTTTTTCAGTTGTATCATCCTGCTGTGAAGGCTGAGGGACCTGAACTTCTTTTTTAGTCTCATCAGTTATAGCATGATAAAAAGCATCATCAAGTTGCGTGACTGGACCATTGGGACTAATTGTCTCACTTCCTTCTGTACTATAACCCATTGACTCAGCAGTTTCTGCTATGATACCAGCATCAGGGTGCAAAACATTTGATTCTTCTGTGGTCACCTTGCAGCTGTTTTCGTCGGTTGTCTTATCCAATTCTTCTTTATCCTCCCCCATCCTAAAAGCATGTTGTTTTGGATCAATGGGTTGAAATCCAGCTTCTTCAGGGCTGGAACTGGAATCTATACTGGATGGAAGTGGTGAAGGAGGTTGCATTCGAATTGTAGGCTCCAGGAAGAGGCCTGACTCAGCTTCTTTTTTCAGCTGAGTCAATTCTGGTTCACTTTCTGAAGACGAAGAACTCTTCCTAGTTTCCAATGAAGAAGTCAACACTGCAGGTATACCCTTTCCTTCCACAGCTGTCGGCTCTAGTACTTCAGCTTCACATGCAGCATCTGAGTCAGGGACTGGAGAATATTCATCTTGCTTGGAATCTTTTTTGTAATCTCTTTTCTGTTTTGCTTCTTGTTCTAGTTCATCAAACATTTTGATTTTGGTCACCATTTTAAACATCTCCTCTTCTGGTGTGAACCGTTTCTTTGGTTCACTTTCTGGATCATCCTCGGGTTCTTCGCTGACTTCAGGGATTATGACCGGCGTGGAGATACTGGACTGTGCCTGGGAGTCTGCTGTTTTTGGTGTGATTTCATAGCTAATTTCTTCAGAGCTGGGGGTTTCTGGTGAAAGAGGACTTTTCCCTGAGCTCTCCATGAGGGATGTTTGCTCTAAACTGTCATCCTCAGTGCTTCCTTCAGGCTCACGAAGAATTCTGGAACGTATCGATGCCAGCTCCGGACAGGTTTCTCCTTTACCAAGGACAGGCTGAACGGGAGCCTGTCCTGTAAGAATCCCAGCCTTCTCCCTTGGCTCTACAGGACTGCTTTCAAGAGAATCGCGGCAGGGGGATTCTTTCATAGGACTGGGCTCCAGGGAATCAGGAGTTTTGTGCGATGAATTATCTTCCAGCACAGGGCTTGCTTCTAGTGAGTCTTTATGACTTATGGCCAAGGACTCATCTGCAACTGGGCTAAAGCTTTCACTGTCACGGCTAGGAAGTGACAGTTCCAAATTCTGGGGACTCCTAACGACAACACGGTGTTCAGAGGTTGCATCTTCCTCTTTTTCTGCAGTGGTATCATGCCCCTCCAAAGATTGAGTTAAATGTGTGTGTTCAGTGGTTTCTGCTTCCTGATCACTTTTAACATCTTTCATAAAGGAAGTGGAGCTACTATCTCCAGACTTGCCTGCCTCTTTCTCAGAGGCTGTAGGTACCAGTTTCTCTGATGACTGATCAGAAAGAGACGTAATAGCCTCAGTCACAGCAGCCAGCTGTTTTTCAGCAATACCTTTGTCATCTTCAGCTGGGGAGAGCTCCTTCGGGGAGCATTCTTCCGCTGTTTTGTGGGCTGTAGTGGTTTCCCTAGTTTCTCCTATTTGCTCATCGGTTTTCTTTGGTGAGAAAGAGAGACTTTCTGGGCTTGTTTCTGGAGTCTCTGCCAGCCCCTCATGCTTATAACTTTCCTCGGAGCTGATCTGAGGGGTTCCCTCAAGCAGGCTACCGGGAGAATCCGCTACACCTTCATGCTTGAGGCTTTCTGAGCTGCCATCGAAAGCAGCACTCTGTAAAGAGAGAGCAGGCAGGAACCCGTCTTTCACATGGTCTGATGGGAAAGCAATGCTAAAAGGACTGGTTAGGACTTGTTCTAAGTGAAGCTCTCCCTTCTCAGTGACCGAGAGGTGTCGAAACTGTTGATATTTGTCATTATCCTCGAGCTCCTCTTTAATGACATCAGAAAAATCCGTCGACGTTTTTCGGTCAGGGCTGATCTGGAAGTCAGTGTCCCCTTGATCGTCAGTAGCCTTTTCCTTCACAAGTGTTGCATCTTTGACACTTTCTTCTTCAACAAATACTGGAGAGAGAGGCTCAGCTGTTTTACAGCTCTGTTCTTTGACTTGTTCTCCCTTTTTAACATCATGCAAAGAGGCCTGAGCCTCTCTTTTGGACTGTGAATCTTTCAGGCCTGCAGATGCCTGGCTTTTTTTGGCTGGCTGGCGATCTGACCTGTCTGTTTTATGGACCTGTGCTATTTTACTTTTTAAACCAACTGCTTCTCGCTGAGTTGGTTCTTTGCCAGCGGGACGCTGCTTTTCTTTGAGAGACTTATGCTCAAACAGCCCAGATATATTCTTGGATGGATCCTGCCCTGACTGGAAGGCTTTCATCAGCTCACGGACTGACATAGTCTCTTCAAGTCTTTCTGTTTTAGCAGAGGGGGAAACAGGTGGTTGTGCTTTATGCACCGTTTTTTTAGCTTGCACTGGTTTTTTAGTAGGCCGCTCAGCCATAGTGCTCCCTTTTGTTTGAATTCTCACGGGCAGTTTTGAACGTATCTTCTGTTCATCTTCCACCCGCTTCTGAAGAGCTTTTACTTTGTCTTTTATTGAGCCAATAGGAGTCTCTTCTATTACTGGGGACACTGCACTAACCTCAGGAACAGCCGCAGGCATTAAACCTGGCTCCTCATCTAATGACTCCTCTGAACTGAATTTTGTTAGTCCAGATTGTTCTTCAGTGCTTTGTGCATCTCCTTCCTTTTGCTTTTGTTTTTCTTTTAATTTCCTCCTAACTGGTTTTTTAATTTCCAAGGCTGGTTTATGTTGCTCCTGTGCACCTTGAGTTTCAGCTGTTGGATAGTCCTGTTCTTCCTTTTCAGATCCCCTGCTTAAAACTACAGCTTCAAATCGCTCTTCTGTTAAATCTTCTTGTAATGTCTGTGGTTGCACCTCATGAAGAGACACAAACGTTTTTAAGTCATCAGTAAGATAGTCTACCATGCCTGTCATGTCTTTCTTTTCTTCCTTTGTTGTCTCTTTGTCAATTCTGACCTCTATACAGACAGGCTCGGTGACTTCTAAAGGAACGTTTCGTCTGGCCTCTTCAATTTCTTCATTGCTGACAATAACCCATTCCTCCTCCACTACCTCTCTTTCAAGAGGGGACTTCTGTGGGACGTGTTCTTCTCTTCCATAGGTTCCTCCTCTCAGAATTTCATTTACTTTTTCTAAGTCCTCTTTCACTCTTTCAACAATTTCAAAAGGCTCTCCTGGCTCTTCTTCAGTGGTTTTCCCAAGATCTTTCACCTTAATGGAACCTGACTTATCAGAAGGGTCAGTTGTCAAGATGGCAGTCATTTTGATCAAATCTTGTTTCATCTCAGAAACTTCAGACAACAAGTCTGGACTGGCTAGTACGGGGACTTCATTAACCAGATGGCTTTTCAGGATAGACGTTTCTGTAGATTCTGTCTCGTCATCATCTTTGATGTGAATGAAAAAACATTGAAAGTAAAATGGAAATTGAAAATAGAGATTGAAAAATGTAATCAGGTTTGGAAATGACAGTCTTTGGTTGCAGTGGAGGAAGGTCAACAAAATGGGCTGGGAATGGTGGATCCACAAGATCTGAGGGTACAAGAGCAAAGCAAAGCTAACAGGAAAAAAACTGAAAAGAAAAATGGGCAGGAAATAACTTGCTTATTTTTCTCACTATAGCACACCCACACGAACAACATCAAAGCTATAACAAACAAAATCAGGACACCACTGAAAAAACTTAGAATAACAACAACGAAAAAATAAAAAAGCAAAGGGGTAACACAGTGAAATTACACAAAACCAGGCATCTCAAGATTGTTCAGATGTTACAGATCAATGTTTAAATAAAAAAAAAACAGGAAAAAGGTGAGGAAAAAAGCATTAGAATTGGTTGAAAGTCGATTTCCTCTAAGTGAAAGCCAGTGGTAGCAAACTGTCAGAACAACATTTGGGTAAGAGTATACATTTTGTTTCTTAGTGATCCAAAGTTCTGTATTTGTGTGTATTTAATTCTGCAATGATCTAAAATATGATAAAATATATAGAGATCTGAGTCAGCTGCAAACCGGCATTTCATCTAAGGGGATTTCACACCTAAACAATGAAACAAACATGTTTTTTAAGAGGCATGGTCCTTTCCTTGGAACATCCTCATTGACAAATAATGAATTGATTGAGGGAGGAGAAAAAGAAAAGGAAAAAAAGAGAGAGAAATGAAGGAAAATAGAAAAGAAACCAAGTCAACCAAAAATGATTTCAAATTTAAAAAAAAAAATGTAATGTATGGCAACCAAAAATCAGAGACATTCACACTGGACACAAACACACAATTTATGTAAGCCAAGTTATTTCCATGCAAAGCAAAGGTGCTGCAAACACTGCTGGATATGTAACCTCACTTAAAAGCACTAGCTGAAAATGGTTATAAAGCAAAAGACTACATGAAATAATACAAAACATACTGTGGTGAAATAGTCTCTGTTCTCTACAACCAATATACAAAGTATTGGATGTAGGCAGCACATGATAGGGTATAACTTCATGAGGGGATATATCAGGATAAGACCCAGTTCAAGGAGGGACTATTAGGACATTTGCCTTCAACTCAATAAACTGTTACAGGTTTAATGTTGGTTATCTACAGAACACCATACTCACTTTGTGATGAAATTCTTCTTTTAAAAAAGAATCATGTTCTACTAAGTGTAATGTTTTTCCTGCATCATTATGTATTACTTGAAGGAGTACTACTATCTTAAGGATGTTGGGCAATAAGAAGTATTTGTACTTCCTCACAAAAACATTCACTTTGCTATAGTACTTCCTTGTGTTTCATGAAGTCTTAATATTCCTCCATTGGGAAACTATGTACAGTAAAACTGGATGGCCACATTTCCTAGACTAAGAGTTCATCTCTGTGCTGTTTTATAGTATTGCCAGATGCTTACTAAAGCAAAGAAGAAGGGCAACAGAGCAACATATGGTTGATGCAAAATAAGCAACATCTCCAGAATCACTTGGAAGACATTGCACTTCTCAGATCATAGAATCATAGAACGTTAGGGTTGGAAGGGACCTCAGAAGATCATCTCCTGCTCAAAGCAGGACCATCCCCAACTAGATCATTCCAGTCAAAGCTTTGTCTAGCTGGGTTTTGAAAACCTCCAAGAATGGAGCTTCCACCACCACTCTGGTTAACCTGTTCCAGTGTTTCACTACCCTCTTAATGAGAAAATTCTTCCTAATATCCAACCTAAACTTCCCTTGCTGCAGCTTGAGACCATTGCTTCTTGTTCTGTCATCTGCCACCACTGAGAACAGTGTAGCTCCATCTTCTTTCGAACCTGCCCCCTCCAGGTAGTTGAAAGCTGCTATTAAGTCTTCTCTCTGTCTCCTCTTCTCTAAACTAAATAAGCCCAGTTCCCTCAGTCTTTCCTCATAAGCCATGTCCCACAGCACCCTCATCATTTTTGTCACCCTATGCTGGACTCTCCAATTTTTCCACATCCTTTCTGTAGTGGGGGCACAATACTGAACACAGTACTCCAGATTTTGCCTCACCAGCGCTAAATAGAGGAGAGTACTGACCGACTGTTGACCTACTGGCAACACACCTACCAATGCAGCCCAATATGCTGTTAGCCTTCTTGGGAACAAGGGCACACTGCTGGCTCATATTCAGCTTATTTTCCACTGTAACCCCCACATCCTTTTCTGCAGAGCTACTGCCCATCCAGTCAGTCCCCAGCAGGTGACTAGTACATGGGATTGTTCTGTCCTAAGCGCAGAACTTTGCACTTCTCCTTGCTGAACCTCACAGGATTTCTTTTGGCCCAATCTTCCAATTTGTCTAGGTCACCCTGAATGCTAGCTCTACTCTGCAGTGTATATACTGCTCCCCCCAGCTTGGTGTAACCTGTAAAATACTTTACACATTGTCCAGTCAAAATAATTTTGATGTTCAATTCCAGCCATGTAATGTTATTTGCTACTGTGGACTGCTGCGTCCATGTTACAAGGCTGTGATTCCAATGAAATTCCACAGGAGCATGCAGACCCAAGCTACCCAAGACCCACAGTCCTGTAATCCTGCATATGTCTAGATTCCAGTTTATGTGAAATCTCCTTAACTTAAGTGAAACTACCTACAATGCGGTCTATGATCAAATGGCAGTGTTGGAAACTTCATTATGAAGCTCAAAAGACAAGAGATCTATTAGACATAATGAAAATAACCAACATTAATCCTGTAAAATTCTTGGACCAGGAAGGAGCTTGTTGAACACTGGGTATTATACATTATGGAATTTATCTGTAATACAGCAATGGAGAAATAGTAAAACTTCAAAATACAGTGAGAAAAATAGCTCTGTCTTCTGCACTTAATTGTAGTCACTTTTAAAGATGGCTGAAAACCCAAACCATCAAAAGTAATTGTTTTTTGAGTGCCTGTGGTAAGACAATCACATCTGAAGTTTCATATGAAAGCTCTCAGCCCTCAAAGATACTTTTTCAGATTGAAAAGACTGTTTTGGTTTGCATCTTCATTAGACCAATCATTAGCCCCTAAAATTCCGCTTAATAGATGTCAGGTTCCATGATAAAAAGTAGGGTATGTAAGCAAAGCCATACGTCCAGTCATATTTCACCACAGTAATGGGGGTCTGAATACTTTGAACAGTATCACTTTTATACATGCCTGAGTTTCATTTAATGAACTTAATGAAATGTATCTGGAATTTTAGAGATGCTTTCATTAAAAAAGTGATACTGTCATTTCTCTGGTAAAAATGAGGTGACAATATTATGTCAACATGTGGACAAAAACATAAAATGGAGGGATGGGTACCTTATACAAGCATAATAGCAATAGCAGGGTCACTAGGGATGTTGAAGGAAAGTGAATGCTTAAATGAATTGTTTTAGAATTTACTGCTTATTAATTAAGTTAAATAATGTTAATAACTAAATAGCTGCATTTCAATTACATTGCTTTTTATTACATTTTTAAAACTATTGTTGCTATTAATAATGGCAGTTAGATCTTAGGATCTCTCTCATGCTTATCTTTATTTCTAGCCAGCTTCCATACAAAATGAGATATTATAATAACTTTTTACAAAATCTTACTTTTTTCTGATGTCACATCAGCCTGAAAGAGAGCAAAAAAAAGTTAAAAAGTTACAATATCATCATTGCTATGTATATTAAGATGGTAGGAAAGTCACAGGATGAGTGAAGATAGCCATTATTATAAACAAATACAGTTCCAGTGATTTAAATGGAATTGTGCATGTTTATAAACTGGCAATGAGAATGGTTTTAGTTATTTATTGTATTGACAGAGCATATCAGTTATCTAATGGCAGCTACTTTGTTACAGTTATAATTTGGGCTTCACCCTGTATACCATAAGTGCTAAGTACTGCATACCTATATGATGAATGGGGATGACAGCAAAGAGGATTCTGATTGTAGATTAGTGAGAGTGAAGTTGCACTACTATGAAATTATTCCTGCACTTAGGTGAAGCGGGAACTCCCAGATAGATCATAGGGAGTAGAAACTTGTCAGCACAAGGGAAAAACAGGTAGTACTTAATATTACTAAGGGCCTTGTCACACAGGACACTTAACATATATTTTATCTCAGGTCATAATAAGCATTAGGCTGATGTATTAAAAGTTAGAATGTGTTCTGAGCAGTCGCACCGTAATGCTTGCTATGATCAAGGATTGTCAGACTCAGCCTCTGAACTGGCTCCTGGGCAGTGTGATGGCTGAGAACTGCCAATCAGCTGATGTCAGTCCAAGCACCCAAACCACACTGTAGTCTTGAATTGGCTTCATGTGCTGCTGGAGCTGGGACTCACAACCAGCTGATCTGTGCTGCCAGCCCTAGCACCACACTAAACCAGTTCAAGACTCCAGTGCAGTGTGGGGTTGGGACCTACAATCAGTTGATTTTCAGTCTCGGCCCTGGGAATGCACTGGAACCAGTTGGAAACTCTGGTGCAGTTCCAGGGCTGGGACTGAAAATCTGCTGAACTGTTGGTCTCAGCTCAGGTCCTGCACTGGAGTTGATCTGAAAGTCCCATGTGATCCTAGGGCTGGGACCCACAATCGGTGGACTGTAGGTCCCAGCCCCACGACCACAATTGATCATATTATCTCTGTGGAACAGTCCCACATTAACTCAACATGTGTTACTTAATACAGTGTAAAAAGGCATAACTTTGCTGTGATACAGTACAATAGGAAAATGCTGAGCACTTATCCTGCCTGAACACATACATATTGGCATTTTAAGTGCATTTAACATGTGCTTAAGTGTCTTGTGCGACATGGCTCTAATATATATTTCTACTAATGGGAAGTCCTGCTTACCATGAAGGGGAACATTGTGCTGCCTGACTTGCAGGGTGTATTAGGAATGCATTTAGTAGATGAGGTAGTTTTAGTCTCATTTAAAATTGAAGATCCTTGTAAGAACATTAAGGGAGACATTTGCATGTACTAATAAGCATGCTTGACCTCAGATATGAAGAAAAAGTTTCAGTTGCTATTATCACTCAGGCTGCTAGGAACTGAAGGAGGTATATAGTTAAAGGTATCCCAGAGATCTGCCTGTACAATTTTGCCAGAGCAATTATTTGTGTACAGAAATAAGATCAACATATGTAAATGGAATTACTGGGTCCAAAACTGTGGAGACACCAGTCTGAAATACAGCTCTGTGAGCTAACTCTATGAAGGCAGGGAACAGAAGGCATTGTTGAAACAGTATCACTTATGACACTGCGGTGCATAGAACATCTTCAGTAAGTGTCAAGAATGCCCATGTCTGCTAAGGAGAGGGTCCTTAAGTCAATAACTGCAGTAATTGAATCAAATAGAGTGCAATATACTGAATCAAAATGTGATATGACCCTACTGCTTGCTTTTCAAGGGAGTGATTAGGACAGAAATAAATTGTTACAAATTGTGACATGGCAATGCACGGCACATGATCTCTGTTAGGCCATTTTACTATTGGTGAATCCGATGCAAGCGTCATTTAATGTAAGGATCCATTAGAACTTCAACAGCAATTTCCATATTGCTACTGGAAATCCCACTGATGCGTTGAGAGAAAAAGAGACTCCTTAAGATGGATCTATTTTTTGGGTAATTAATATTCCAAGAGCTCACAAGTGATTCTGTATGTCAGCATAATAATACAAGTAAATTTTATTCACAAAATAAATTAATACAACCACTTGAAAATATAAAAATTGCTAAGAAGTTTTTAGTGAACTAAAGATTTCATTTAAGAGAAGAGAGGAGAGAATTCAAGATCTCGGAGCCAATGGGGACACTAGATTTAAAGTACATTACCTAAAGCGCATTAATGCACGTGTAGATGTGCGAGTGTTAGGAGCATTGGCCCTATTCCTCTATTAAGTTGTAAGCTGCATTTCTTAAATATTTAACAACCTAAATATTTTCTTTTGGGTTAACACTGGGTTCTAGTACTCAACTCGGAAATCCATAACCATCACCATGGACTTCTACTGCATAAAGTCCAGATTCTTGATTGAGTTGCAGCTCCATCGTTCCACTGAGACAGTACAGTGGACCAGATTCATGGGAACTCCCTGCTGGATGTAACTGTGCTATATGTTTCTGCCTGCATGCTTACATGGGAAGTATGTTTGGGCTGTATCAGGGGATGGAAGAAGAGAGTAGAGCTCTACCACTCCACCAGTGGCATCTCAGTGAGGGCATCTCAATTTTTCTAGGGCCAGGACCTCCTCAGAATCAGGAAAGTATAACTAGCACCATGATGATAACTCCTCTCATTTGTGCTAAGTGGAATTACCTGCCCACAGTCTTTCACATGCTTGCAAAAACTTGCAGGTAGCTTTTCAGTGAAAAAGTATTCTGTAGATCTATTTTTGAACAAACGTATTTTAACATACGCCGAAATCTCCTTCAGATAAAGTAAATCACTATGTGTGTCCAACCTGCAAGCAACCCCGAATGACATCCAGCTCCTTAAAATGAGAACTGTTAATCCATCCTGGTAACACTAGGCCAATACACAGGGAAACAATTCAGTTTTGTAAGAAACATGTATTAGTTGTCTCTTGTTAGTACATACAAGCAATTATGCACCCATAATGATAGCACTACAGCAAATTACCTCTTCTTCCTGTTCTTGATCTGATTCTGATTCCTTTCAGCCCCAAAATGCCATGCAACAAAGAGGGGGAAAACAGGGTAGGAAAAGTACAGAATATTTTGAAGAAAAGAATAGGAAAAGTGTTACTTCAGATAACATTCAACGGATAAATGTAGCAAGCATGCTTTTGCAACCAGTTTAAAAAGTCTAAACTGGAAAAAAATATCTAGAAGGTTTATTTAAATATAAAAGGCTGCACAGTCAAGTAAATTACACACAGAAAAGTTGCTTGAGAGTATTAGGTTTCCACAAGGTCCTAAATCCAGCTTTATAAGGCTTATGAGATATGCATGCTCAAGAGAACATTTATTTATATTTTATGTTAAGAAAGCACAGACAAATCCTCTAAAATAATGGAGAAGGTTCCCCTTGTAAAACTAAAATTTTATGAGTTGTGCTGCAGCATATATAGAAAGGTAACCCTCTGAACAGCTACTGCAAAGCACTTTCTACAGCATGTTACAATGCATCTTATAGTAATCTATTGAGACAGTATGCTCTTTTAATTCTTTATAATCATTAAAGGTAAAATGCACCTCTAAGCACAGGCCTATTTTGCATGAACAATACTGGGACTGATAATATTCACATAGCTCAATGTACTAATGCAATGGGGGCCAACCTTTTTGACAGGAATGTCACAAATTATCCCCAGACCTTCCCCAAGTGCCACTCCCATCCCTTTCCTCTGTCCAAACTATGCATCTGCTTTCTGGTCTCTACTCTGGTCCATGCCTGATTTCCTGCTGTTTTCTGCTTCCTGCCCTATCAGCTGCCCTCCCTGATCTGCCATATGTCACACACATGAGCTCATGCCACAGGCTGGCAACCCCTGCATTAATGGAAGTCACCTGCTACAATGTTGATAACGACAGTGCAGGAACCTATGGGCAAAAGTAACAGAATTGTGCTGGTGTCCTGCACATTCTGTCTTAGTGCCTGGTCTAGCTCTCATTGAAATACATAAAACTCATTTCACTGTCTTTAGTGGTCCTTGAACTTGTATCAAACATTGAGCAAGATATGGAAATGCCATCCTAATGGACTTTGATTTTAAAGCTTTTTATGCCTGCCTTAATAAAATAATAAAACTATATTGCAGTTCTGAGGAACACAGTATGTGTAATTCATTAACCATTAATTAATTGCCTTATCCTTCTAAAACCCTAAGAAGTGGTTATAAATTATAAGCCCCTTCATACAGGAAAGGCACTAAGACTTACAGTGTTCAGTCAGTGCCCCAAATCATACTGGAAGTCTCTGACAAAGCTGGGATGCAACCCCAGCTTCATGAATGACTGGTGCCTCCTGCAACTGAGGCGGCACCACAGTGGTGAGCAGAGAGTGGGGACGAGCTGCAGCTGCCGCTGGCAGTATCAGCAGCAACAAGTGGGGACTACCCGCAACTGCTGCCAGCGGTGTCCTCCCGCAGCTGACCGCCAGGGGGAAGGGGTGGGTGGCAAGCAGCAAGCAGGGGTTGTCTGCAGATGCCGCTGGCTATATTGGCAGTGAGAGGCAGGCGGGTGTGACCAGCGACCGCCCGCAGAAGCCAGTGGCGGCTTCGGCAGTGGCTGATCTCAGGGGGTGCATGTGCCCCCCTGTACCCCACTACGCGTTGCCTATGCCCAGCTTATTTAGTGATTCTCAGTTCTGTGTCTTACTGGTGGGTATAATTTACATACATTTTAGCATAATTTCTGAATGGGAATAAATCCATCATGGGGAGGGACCCACCAAAATTGTGGTTTCATAATTTTCAAGGAAACTGTAATTTCGGGCACGCTTAGTGAAAAAGCGAGGACTCCACGAAAAAGTGTGGATGACATGCATTTGGCAGGGTCCCTGAAAAAAAAAAACTCACCAAAAATAAAATGCTGACACCCTATGGGGAGCCAGCAGTCCTTGTGGCCACTGTGCCCACCCACTGAGTCCACCAGGGGGAAGGATGGAAAGGGGTGCTGCTGGAACAGCAAAATGGCTGCTGCCCCCACCCCTCACTGCTGATTGGCTGCAAGGGCTGTCCATCATACAGCTCACTCCTCACCACCAATTCGTAGTGAGGGGCAGGGCCACATGATGGACAGCCCTACTCACAACAAATTAGTGGTGAGGGGCGGGGACACTGAGTCTGCTTGGCCAATCAGAGATGTTGGGGGGGAGAACCACCATGCTCTGTCTGCAAAGATGGCTGCCAGACCCACAGTCTGCCCATGAAAATGGCCAGCAGCCACCTTGATTTTCCTTAATCATGGCCTAATCCAGAGCAAACTGGATTAGGCCCATGAAGTCTCTAATCTTTGCATTTCATTGGAAATTCAGGTAGAAAGCTATATGATCTACCAAAATCCAACACCAACACCCTCCTCCCCTAGTAGATAAATATTAGGTCATAGATGCAGTTTGTATTTTCAGATGAGTGATAATGTCAGTATTCAGGAAAACTATGGAATCAACACTACTGGAAGTTTGTTTGTGCAGGTTAGGCAAACATTTGTCTTGAATGATCAGGCATGGATGTTCCAGCCTTGAGAAAGGGCATTGAACTAAATAATTTCCTGAGGTTACCTCCAGTCCTATTTTGTACAATGCTAAATATTGTGGGTGTTATTTATACTTCATTAAAGACGAATAAGTCTTTAGAAATCTTTTGTCCTCCAGCCTATTTGCTAAGCATGCTGTGATGTGATCATAGGCAATCTTTGTAAAAAAAGAAAAAAAAGCAAGCTCTGCTATAGTACCTTTGTGTAAACTGGCAATGTAATATTTAGGTTGCAGATGGCTTGATGTACTAGGCCTCTTGTAGATTTTGGCTCCTTCATAAATGATAGTCGTCCACAAGGTTCTTGAGTTGTATCTCGTACCTAATAAAACACAGATATTGAAGCATAAATGCAATTTTGTTTTACAGTGCACTTCAGATACACCCATTACAAGTATTTAGCAGGAGGAAATTAGATCTGAAAGGGAAGTTAGCTTCTGTATGCAATTCCAAATTCATGGGAGGTCTATTGTTGCTGCTCCTTGCTTGATGGGTATGAAGGTAGGTGTAGGTGGATGCATGAGGCAGTGAGAATGAGACAGGAGGATAATGAAAACCATAGATACATTTACACATTTTAAATTACTAATAGAGACTTGTCTGTAGAATGCTGTGAGAGACTGCAACTGCACTGTGATTATGCTCCCATGATGGCCTGCAATCACTCTGTTTTTCAATTAAATAGAATTTGGTCCCCAAGCTTTGAAAAAATAATGGGACTCATCTTTGATTTCTCTATTAAATGGGGGGGGGGGGGGATAAAAATACACCTCAGATATAACCACACCATATTCTTGCTCTTTTATCCTCCCACATAGATAATTAGAAGTTATTGTATGTTCTACTTTATTTGCATAAAACACAGCACTTGATAACTTAACTGCTGTGATAGGTACAGAATCAGTGAGGAACACATTCGACAAAGTTCACACTAAAAACAACCCCCTTACATTTCAGAAGATCTAATCATTTTGATCCCTATTTACTGCATTTCAGTGAAGAAACCTACTGGCAAACCTCTGAAAGCTCTGCAAAATATTTAAGTGAGACCACTTTAATCCCAAATTGAACAACATTGTATAGAAACATTGTAAGTTCTGACACCTTGTGCTATTTGGGAGACACCTTTATGCTGCAATTACACACAAGACAGAGAGCATTTCAAATACTTTAAAAGTACTTTTAGATTTTGCAGTCTTAGAAAATGTAACTTGTTGAATAGGTGCCAATAAAGAAATATGCCTTCTTATTGGTTTTATCACCAAGGCCAAGTGGTAAAATTACTCTGAAATAGAGCTGTATATGTTTTTGTCATATTAAACAGGATGTCAAGTCACATCAAATGCTTTGAGACCTGTCTTGGAAAGCCTAGGATGGGATATGACCACACAAAGTCAACAGTTTGTGATATAAACAAAAGCTGATCTGTTCTAAATAAAGAAAACAAATTTACAAAAGAGCAAGGGGTAGAGGGAGAGCAAAAGGCACAGGACAAATACTGTAATTATGCAACAGGATGTTCCTTGTTTATGATTAGCCTACTCAGAATTTGGAAGTGTCCCAAAGTTCATGACCTCAAGTAACTTTTATTTGGAAAAATGACTGGTTAAATATATTTTACATCACAATGATTAGTAGAGCTTTTAATTTAACAAATAATGTAAAATGTCATCTCTGCCCAGTAGTCCCTGGCAGCCCTGTTGGCCATACAGAACTACTCAGCCCTTACGTTAGGGATCTTCACCATATGAAAGCTTTGAAACACCCTTCAAGAGCACTGTAGGAAACTCTGTTCTGTAACTGTCTGCAAAACTGCTATTCTGTGGACTGGCATTTTCAGTTCCTAGTGTCACCAAACTTTTAAAAAATAATCAAATCTCTTCAATGAAAATACAAAGTACCCTCTTGTACTCCTTCTTCTCCAAAACAGAGAAGGACATCAGTTCAAAGTCCTAATAAGCCTAGTAGATCTGTACCACAAACTGTCCCTAACACTAATATGGATGTTGGTGAGTATTAGCACAGCTGTCAGCATGATCAGCTCACTCATCCACTGTGACCCTATGAAGGAAGTGGATTGCACACGTAGCATGTTGGTATGGGGTTTAAGTCACTGCTTGTGCAGCAATTTATTGGGTTGCAGCTTTTAACTTTCATAGTTTTCTACTCCAGTTTTGAAAACTTGATTTTGTAAGCAGTATAGAAACAAAAGCTGGATTTGGAGTAGAGATGGGAATTCAGTATGAATTGTTGCACTCTCATATGGATGATGATAGTTACATAAAGGACTCATTTTTGCTAGTATTGAAGTCAAAGAAGATTTTGCATTGCCTTTAGCAGGACTATGATGGAGCCAGAGTTGAAGAACAGCTATCTTGTGAAATGTGTGTGAGATTAATTTTGTTGTGATGACAACATTGTGATGAATGCCAGAGAAACATACCAGAATATTCAGTTTTCTACAATATAGTGAACCATAGTCAAGTTCAATATTATCACAAAATGGTCTGGAAGTTTATGAGCTACAAAACAGCTAGAGATGGAACACAGGAATAGGAAGGAGATAACTCCAATTTATACAAACTGACAAATGATATGAACCTCCTTTGCAAAGCACTTTGAGATCTAGTTCTGCAAAATAGTATATAAGAGTATGTTGATATTACTGTGGACTTTTATTTTTGCTCATTTATTTTACAATGTATTATTTCTGTGAAGCACAGGACTGTATCTGCAAAATAGATCAATCAAAAGAGTTGTTCTGTAATGAGCCAAAGCTCATTAGGTAGATACCATCATTCCTATGCACAGGCTTGAAGTTTGAAAAACATGGAATACATGAAAATGGCGTGCAGTACATAACCACAAATTATTACATTTACAAGGAATGTTTACCTAGATTTTGTGCAGCCATGTTCAATAAATTATAAATAAACCAGACCAGCAGTTGTCCACGTCAACACCTACTACATTATTTATTACAGGAGAAGATATTTTCCAGTCCAATTCATATACTGACAGCCCAGAGCTAGCCCTGAATAAAACCTTAGTCCATGACCAAACTATTCCATTACCTTTACAAACAGTGGAAGTCTGTTTTCTTTGAAGGCATAGAAACTAAATATATGATGTTGCCCACTCTTTGTAAGTGGCACTAGATTGCCAAAGCAGTCAACATAGATAGGTTTTCCTTCCAATACCTATGGAAAAATAATAATAAAAAATCTTATTAAAGATGATACTCATTTCTGTATGACTAACTTATTTCCCTATGCAAGTACGGCTCTACATTGTTTTTTTCAACCAATCTTCTAAAAAGGTCCTGAATTTCTTATGCAAAGTTGTTGTTTCATTGTTGTTACTATCCTGAACTAGTGTAAACAAATTCAGAAGTGAACATTGAATCCTCATTTTAAATATTTTACTGGCTTCACTTACAAACAGTGGTAAAATTCTTAGAAATGAAAATCATGGCTGGTACCAGCATGAATCTCTACCTGAATCTCTACTTACAATATAGCATGGATTTAGATCTAGTTAAGCACCACAGATGAAGGAACTATATTACTCCTTGTGCAAACCCAGGATCTCAGTTTTGAGCTGTAAGGTAGCAAATTAAACTGAGTATCATGAATTTACAGATTATTTTCTTGGTTGGCCCATTTAATTCCTTAGGCAGATTACTCTGCAGTAGGCTAACCAATCCACCTATGACAGTCTTAGCATTGAGGCTCAGTCATATGTTCTAAGGTGCTTAATTTTTAAAAGGGCCTGATCCCGTTTACCAGTTGATCCCATTTGCTTCAACTGCAGCTGTGAGCGTTTGGCAATTATGAAAATCTGGCCACTGTCAGAAATGCTTGTATGGTATCACTTGGGTCTTTTAGGGCATCTATACATGTGCTCTGGGGTGGGGGCTTTCATTAGAGCGGCTCTGAGAGCTGCTGTAATTAAAGCAGCCAAAGAGTCATGTGTATTCAGTGTCCTGTGCTTCAACATGGCGGCAGGGGTGCTTGAACTAAAACTCATTCGAAGAGCTTTAGTTCAAGTGCCCCAGCTGCCATGTCGAAGCACAGGACACTGAATACACATGACGTGGAAGCTGCTGGAGCATGTTAATTAGTACACTCCAGCAGACTTGATTAACATGAGTCTCACATGCTTGATTAATCGAGTCTGCTCCTACACTTGCTAATTAGCATGCATTGGAGCAGATGTCTGACATATGTGCAGGTGCCCTTAGTGGCTGTTTACGTGTCTCTTCATCAATCACTGAAACTTGCCTTCAACCTGCTGCCTTCCCCTCCACCCCCCACCAAGAAAAGCTAGCACATTGTGTGGCAAGTACCTCCTGTCATTATCTATATGAAATTTAGCCCTGTCAATTTGCTGAGGCCATATTTTATCTTTTGGAGGGGAGATGGGGGGTAAAGGCTACCTATGTTTAGTATTGGAGAGCCTGAAACTGAGCAATTAAGGATGGTGAGCAGAAATTAGGTGGGGGTTTTCAAGTAGAAAAGAGGATGCACTAAGCAAGCAGAATATTCTATGCTCATACATCATTTCCCACTTGCCATCGCTTTTGAGAGAGATGATTCAGCCAGAAAGAGCTTTTAACAAAAAGTACTTCAAATCTCCACACGGAATGCTTTTACTTGTTCAACATCAGACATGAATATCCAAAATGCAGAATATTAATCAAACCTTTAATGTAAGTTCCTAATGCTGGTGGATGAAAATAGCTTGTCCCACTGATTGTCAACAGCACTTCTGACTTCTGCTGTCAAGGAGTTGACTATCTTTTTTATTAATAATGTACACTTAAAAGAGAGATTTAGCATTTAAGTAACTAACCTTGTGCCTGGGGAAATTTCCCCCTTATTTCACAAAACCCATCTAACACTAAGCTTCACAAATTTCAGCATAAAAAAAAAATGAATAATAGAATCAAAACGCTAAATCCTGCGGTAGTTACTGTTTTTAAAAATGTCCTTTTCTGACATATGCGCACACAACTCAGTAGGAATTTCTCTGAATTAATGACAACCTCAAGATCTCTCCTGACATGTGGCATCATAAACCTTATTTAAAACTTAATCATTCACCTCTGGCCAATTTAGAAATGGTTACTATGTATTTGGCTGACCTTTAAGCTTAGCTCACACCAGCAGAACCCAGTTCAAGAGCCGTAGGCAGCAATGTAAGCTGTTTTCATCCTACCACTCCACTGAGTGCCCTGGAGATAGGCAACACAGACCAGAAAGTGAACAGACTGATGCCAGCAGATGTGAGAGGCAGAACGGGAGGTGCATTGTTTTAGTACATCTGCTAGATAAATAAAACTTGATAAAACTGACATGCATGTATCTCTGTGTGACAGCAACCTGCTGCCACCACACCTTGGACATTTTCCTTTTAGAGTAGCTGTCCACGGTCATCATGTCTATGTTTTTGTGTGACCAATTTTAACATCCTTAACCACACAGAATTATTAATAACCTCAAGGCCAGTTTTGCTTCAGAAAAGGACATAATCCCTCTCTATATAATCTTTTCTCTTTTCCCCAAAGCTAGTATTATATCAGCCTTTCAAAAAATATAGTTAGCCCTTCAGCAGTAATACTCTTGTTCCTCTCAACATGGTTCTACAAGATCCTAGCAGCCTTTTGAGACAGGTGGGTAGCATTACTCCTCCAGATTGCTGCTTTGCAGTCAATTCAGACAGTAAGATGGATCATAATAGTACTGTGAAGATTCCCCCTGGATGTGACAGTGCCCACATACAGACAGTCCTTTCTACTGGAAGAAATTTATCCTGATAGAAAAATAGCCCAGGAGCTTAACTGTACAGATGTTCCTCTAGCCCTGTGACTGCAGAACTCCACAGGGCAGAGAACTCCAGTCAGACAGCACTGGAGGGCTGCTCCCTGGGCCACCCCTGCCCTTAGTGGAGGTCCATAATTTGACAGCCTACCCTTTTCCTGGCCTGGAAAGGGTGCAGGCTGTCAAGTGACAGTTGACTACTGAAAAGCAGCAGCTGCCACAGACAATTGGGAAGGATCCTCCCTTGGGAGTATGCCTCTACATCCTGTCAGTCCCTTGGCAGGAGGGGAGTTATTATCTCATGGTGGGAAACCTCTCAGCCCTGCTCCTTGTGCTCCTATATGGGCTCACCCTGAGGAATATGTGTGGTAGGAGAAGGGAAGACAGGAACAGTCAACTGCTGTGGCAAGGATTCAGGAGGGACATGGCAGCTTTCCTCATCCCATGCTGCTTCAGGCTGACTCTGGCACCGCTTTGCTTCAGCTGGGTGGCATGAGAGACAAGGGGAAGTTGTAGGGATGAGTGGCCAGAAGGTGGGAACCAGGCTGGGAAAAGCCTTTGTATGCTGGCTCCTAACCTCCCTATGGCAGGGTAAAACCTGGAGGCTGGAAGCAGGACTCAGGTCCCTGAGCTCTTTTCCCATACACCAGCTTTTACATTGCTGCCCTCATGCTCAGTTAAGCAGCAAGGGGGATCCAGCAGAAGCAAGGAGCCAGGAGATTTTCTCAGAGACCTTTTTTTAAATCACTGCCTTGCTGCTAAACTGGGTGGCAGGGGTGGCAAGGGGAAATGAGCAGGAGCCAGCA